GATATTATTCTTCAGAAGAAGGGGTGTGTCCTAGTCCTTAAATGGGTTGGGGAAACTTTGGGAAAGATGGGACTTGACCTGGATCCTGGAGTATAGGGGAACAGCCTGTGAGTGGGGAAAAGGTGGGGTGGAGAGCATAATTCCAGGGGCAGAACAGCTGGAGCCAGGGAGCAGGGGCAGAGCAGAGTGAAGGGGAGACAAGTTGCTTGACTCAAGTGGATCCTTTGTGCTGAGTGGCAGTCTGCAGCAAGATTGAAGGGGTAGATTGAAGTGGAGCAGGGGAGGGTACTGACTTTTAGGCTGAGTGCTGATTCCATTCAGTAGGCAGTGGAGAAAGCACTGAAGGGGTCTGAAGCAGTGGGGTGAGGGTGGGAAAGTGAGGATACTAGTAAAGCCAGTCTGTGCATGCTTCAGCAAACTGAATAATCCAGGATCTTTGCAACAGCACTCCATAGGTCTGTGGCCATATGGCAGCACCTGATACTCGGGCAAGTGCTGGGTGGGTGGGGATTATAGTAATTGGTCTACATGGGGTCCAGGCAATGCCATTAGTATTATTTTTTAAAGGTCTCCACTATACTCTCAAAATGACTTCATCTTTGCCCATAGCTTCAATAACCTATGTGCCAATGGCTCATACATTAAATTCTCCAGTTCTCTTCTGAGATCAAACTCACAAACACAACTGCCTGCAAAGCATCTCTTCCAACATGTCTGAAGGGTGCCTCAAACTCAAGATACCCAAAGTGAACTCTGATGTTAGCCTTCCCCAAACTGCTACTCTTCTCCCAGGATTCCTCGTCTCCAGGAATGTCTGAGGTTCACACAAGCTTGGAACTCATCCCCGACACCTTCTCCTTCCCTGCCGCCCATCTCAAATCCCTGCCGGGTTTTCTCTCCAAAATCTCTGGAATCCAGCCCTTTCATGCTACCTCCACTGCTACCATGGGGATCCAAGCCCCCAGTATCTCTCACTTGGACAGTGTCCTTATAGCCTCTCATGCCTTATTATTGTAATTATGTTTGGATGAAAGTGATTATTTCAAAACAGCAAACTGAGTCATCCCCCTGTTTAAAAGCCTCCAGTGTTCCCAGCTACTCTCAGAATAAAACTAAACTCCTGACAAGGGTTTCCAAAGCCGTGCAGCATCTGGTCCCTACTCCCTCACCCACTGTCTTACTCCAGCCATGCAGGCCTTCAATTGCCTTGGTCTCAGCAGAGGGCACTGGCTACGTTCTTGTCTCTTTCCCACTAGTTAATAGCTGTTTATTCTTAAGTGCTCTGCTGAAACATCATTTCCTCAAAAAAGCTTTTCCTGATCCTCAAACTTGAGTAGGTCCAACCAGCACAGTGGCTTTCAATTCTTTTTTCTATTGTGACCCATAGTGTGAAATACATTGGACTTTGTGACCTAGCATATACATACATCAACTGAAAGATAATTTTAAAATTCTTACCCTTACTACATGATACATAGATATTTTGTATTATTTCACCTAAAAGCAGTACTGAACACTCAGCTTGGGGGAAAAAAAGGAAGCCTAATTAATCTTATAGAACCATACCTCTCCTTTAAAGCACTCTCCTTTAAAGGCATATTTTTAAAAATGATTTTTGGGTTAAGATCTCCCTCAAAACTTTTATTAGGGAGTATTTGATATTTTGCTCACTGTTGTAGCCCTTGTAGTTAGCAAATTATCTGAGCCTCAACAGGCACTTAATGAATATTTGAACAATGAAGAATACAAATTTGTGATGAAGCACTTTTTCTTTGTAGCACTTATCACAATTAAAACTGACTCTATCTGTATAGTCATTAAGCTTCTCTACTCTAACTCCAGGAGGACAGGAATCCTGTCTGTCTCCTCCTTTTTATGTCTCCAGCACTTAACACTGTACCTGGAAAAGTGGCAAATAAAATCATTTCAAGAACATAGTTCAAATCCTGGTGACTAGATTCTGGCAAGCATGAATTGATGAAGTTGAGAACCACCTGCCTCAAAGACTTCTTTCTTTGCTTCAGAGACTATGAGAAACCCAACTTATTCCAAAAGGCAAATGGAGCCTGCGTTGGAAACAAATCCTGGATGGATAGCCAGGTGTGGCAAGTGAGGAACTACTGACGGGTGCACCCAGAAGTTAACAGTTAATTATACGGGAACAGCTTATTTGTCGGAAGCAATTAAAAATTGAGTTGGAAATGACTCATGTAATCTCTAGCCCCTAAAAATATCACTAATACTTCACGGCAGTCACATTCCTTCTATACGTATTATACTTATTATACATATTATTAATTATATTATATTATATTATATTATATTATATTATATTATATTATATTATATTATACTTATTTGGATGGAACAAGACACATTTTGTACTCACCTTGTGATTCCCAGGACAGCGTTCCTGTGGACAAAACCTGTAGATGTGAATTGCCACAACAGATGGTATAATCCCAGCTAAGCTTCTCGATACACCCTTGCACGAAAGTCACGTGGACATAGGAGCACGAGTGGTTTTAGAGTGATTAAGTCGGTTGGCTGTAGCAAATTCTTTGACGTCATAAGCTCAGGCAGTCCGGCGGAACACTCTTAGTATTGAACATATAACTAATTTCTTTCATTTTCCAGTCTTCCCTGTATTTACTTAATTTCTTGAAAATAATGCTTTTGTTAGAGTTTCTCACAAATTCAAAGTCTATTCTACTAAGAGATAAGATGAACAATTTTCTTGCATGTAGGACATGATGAATCAACACATTTTTGGTTAGTCTTTGAAGGAATTTATTTCTCTATTTTCATTAATTTATGTTCAATACATAGAGAATATAGGCATAGGTCTGGGATAGGAAATGCACAAGATACACTAGGAACAGAATACTGGGATTGAGGGGAACTCAGGAGCAGAGTTAAAGAGGCTCCCACTGGCCAAATATGAACCAATCAATTTTTTAAAAAACCAACAATAGGTTGAAAGACAAATATATTTAGATCTGAGTTCATAATGACACTTAAAACCAAAATCCACTGGTCGCCTTTGAAGGGTGCTACGGAACCAGCTCATTATTTTGAAAACTAGTAAATACTTTTTACCTTTTCTATACAAATTGTACTGTCGGGCAACCAAATAGTTGATGAGGGTATGTTTCTCCTTTCAGTATCCCAGCTAATTAAAGAAACAATGCCACAATTGAACTATCACTGTTTTGCAAACCCACATGAATGAGTCTAGGTCTTGATTATCAATGGCTGCTAAGACCACAAAATGAGACAACCAATTAGTTCTCCTGAATGGAATACACACCAGGTCTATGAAGTACTCTTCCCAGAAAAGTCCAATCTTAATGTCTAAAGCGCCAGATCAGTACAGTCCAGTAGAAGTATGTGAGCCACACGTGTAATTGTACACTCAAGTCAAACTCAATTTCAGTTCAAACTCTCAATTCCAAGTGCCTGATAGCCATACATGGCTACCATATTGGACAGTACAGCTGATGAACCATTAAATTATAGGAAATAATGGAAACGGAGGAACATGCCATCACAAGGATACAATTAGCAAAATCCAAACTGGGAACTCTCTGGGGAAAGAATGATCTATTTTCTTCGAGTAATAAGTTGCAAAGGAGTGAAAGGGTGCAAGAATGCACAGGAGAAAGGAGTGAGAACTATGGGCTATCAGAAATTTAAGACACATCAACTGACAGTGCATAGATTGCATGCACATCTTGATTTGGAACAAAGTGTGAAACACACAGTTATGAGATAAAATAATTTGAACACTGATTGGATATTTGATGTTACTAAAGGAGTTATTCTTTAAATACAATAATGGCACTGTGGTTAAATTTTTAAAATATCTTAGAGCTTCATACTGAAACACTTATGAAGTAATATGATGTCTGGGATTTAGCTTCAAAATAATCCAGTGTGTTTGGTAGGGGTACAGATGAAACAAGACTGGCCATGAGTTGACAATTATATAAAGACAGATGATGAAAAAAATTATACTATTCTGAATATGTTTGAAAATTTCCACAATTAAAATAAAAGATAGTGAGATAAGATTATAATGATACTGTTCATATTTTCAGAAGTACAATTTGTTGAAGACAGTACTGTTTAAGTCTTTCTTTCTAAATCTATAAAGTTGCCACCACCACTACATAGGGCAATAAATCAAAAACTTACAAAACAAAAACCAAATAACAAAAAATAATGCTCCTTTATTAAAACGCTGCAGAAGCTGAATGAGAGGAAAGAGGGAGTGGTTTTTTCCACCTGCGGTTAGATAACTTCTTCTCCTCGGGTTCTGTTGCCTGAGTTTTCCTGAGTCCCTGCTGCACACTCCTGACCCCATCGATGCAGGTATCTTAGTGGCAAGGCTGTCTGGACATCAAACATACATTATACAATTCACGTTTTATTTCTGTTCTTCCTGCATCTCATCAGAGAGCAAATGGTGACGATTTATAACAAAAGGGCACACAGGCCTATGGGGTTTTATGAGGCTTATCACATCAGATTCTAAGGCTTATGAGTTTAGACACACTTGGAGGCATGCTGGACCTCATACCCTACGTTAACTCTGTAATGCATAATATATAAACTTAACAAGGCAAATGAAACAAACAAAAAAAGGACGAAGGTGTTAGCATCTTGTACCCAAGAACTTCCAGTTACATGAAATCATTTCCAAAGTTGATGTATCCTTTCCTGTTTATCCAGAGTTGGATTCTGCAAACAAAGTTTGCTGCTTGTCATTCACCTTCCTGTAGCAAATGCCTAGTTAATAAATTTGAACTCTGCAGTGTAAATGTGTTTCATCAATGTGGAAGAATGTGTAGTGATTTGGGAGGCAACAAACTGGGGGCAAAGGCTCAAACTAAAAAATAAAAATGACATTTATTTAGCTTTTTGGAAATATAAATAACAATTAATGACAAAAAGGAAAACAAAACAAAACAAAAAACTGACAAGTTATATGACTGATCAGCTCCAGGCGCAACAGTATTTATTAATGAATATAAAAAATAAATTTTATTATTTTTATCTGCTTTCTCCCAGCTTAAACTACATGTATATTTTTGGAAGCTTGCGTTCTTTAAAAAAAATTCCACAACTATACCAGCCCCTACAATGTGACTGAGTGAGATTAATCAAGGTCCCACTCCCATAGGGAAATTAATTTTTATCCTTGGGGATTCTGAACAACCAGATCTCTAGGAACTTAAAAAGCAGGTGCTTTCATCAGGATCCATCTAACATGGGGAAAATGCAGCCATCATCCATTAAAGCACGATCCAGTCTGGGTACAGGTAGTCTTCAGGTTTTCCAGGTTCTCCACATGACTACCAGACGAGGCCACCAGCCCTTCCGGCAGCCCAGCCTGCAGCCTCTCCAGCTACACCAAAAGTGGGATTCACAAACCAAAGACAAAGCATTTCTGACCTCCCTTCCTGGAAGTCACAGGGCTGTTTGGGCAGGAAGGGTAAGGAGGTCTTGCGTCAAGCCTGCCTTCACAACCAGGACTAGGGAAAGGCCTGCTAAATCTGCCCAGTGCACACCTGTGTCAACTGCATATGTATATAGAGTGTACTTACCCATCACCACACAAGGAAGATAAGCATAAACTTACAAGTCACTCTGGACCAAGCCCCTCAAAACAGAGGCGAATTCGGTGAACCAGGGTCACACTGCCTGTCATAATAACCCCAGTTCAACTAGGTCCTTTCCTGAAGAAACTTATTAATCTCCTGATTCAAGAGGCACCTCTGGCCAGGACAGAGCACAGAAGGAAAATGTAACTTCTGGGTTGGGCAATGCCAAACGGAGTTTAAAGGTTGTGGTTTAGTCTACAGCACAAGAAGATGGCAGCATCACTAATATTTAGAGCTGGAAAGAGCCTTGGCTGGACCACACTCCCGGAGCATCTTTACTAATGCAGCTTAATGGCGGTTGCCCAGATGTCGTTGCTGGGGAGCGGGGGAAGGACCCATCCTTGGGGAACGGAGTTGCCTTTGGGATGATCAGATGGCACCAGGTACTGATCCCAATCATGCCTTAATAAGAACATTGTAAAACAACTATTTATTTTTTGTTTTATTTGAAGCAAGATGTTAGCAACTAAATATTCTATTTCAGGACTTAGCTTTAAAATGACTGATATGAATCCACTAAAGAACTTGCTTTCTAGGAATTATGCAAAAGACTTTCTTAAATATACATATAAAGAGGAAAAAACTACAAAGAACTTATAATCTTATGGATAACCAAATAATATACAGTTGATCCTCATTATTTGCAGCTTCTGTATTTGCAAATTTGCCTATTCACTAAAATTTATTTCTAACCCTAAAATCATTTCTCATGGTGTTTCCATGGTCACTTGCTGACATGCACAGAGCAGTGAAAAATCAGAGTCACCAACCGGCATGTTTCCAACCGAGGCGGAACAAGGTGACACCCACCTTCTGGTTTTCAGCTGACTGTAAACAAGTGTCTTTTTTGTAGTTTATCTAGTACCATATTAGTCACATTGATGCTTTTTATTGACATTTTGCTGTTTAAAATGGTCTCCAAGAATAGTGCTGAAGTGCTGGCCAGCATGAGAAGGCTGTGATGTGCCTTACGGAGAATGTGTTACACAAGCGACCTTCAGGCATGAGTTATAGTGCTATTGGCCATGAGTTCAATGTTATGTGTTGACTGGCTGACGAATCGTCAGTAGGCTCCCAGGAACCTAAGTCTGCATTTCCTTTAGGAGCATCACTTCAGCATTCTCCAATTCAGCGTCTGCAGCTTTATAGAATACAGCTACTGTGAATAATGAGAATCAACTAACATTTGTATACTAGCCAGAAGTACATTTTTCCCAGAACATAGACTTGGTATGCAAAAGAGCACTGTTGGACCTCTGGAAGGAACTTCAAGATCACTTAGTTCAGTGGTCTTTCAAGCCAGGTTTTAAGACCTCTTAAGCCCCAAGTAGATGTTCTGGGGAGTCTAGAAACAACAAAGTGCTTCCCTAGTCGATAACAGACTTAAACTGTCTGCGGAACCCATTCATTCATTCTAACTATCGTACAAACTAATCTCTCAAAAGACTGCATTTGGGGAGGGTCCTACTGCTCATGTTTGAAGGCCACATTCTAGTCCACTATTTTCATTTTATAGGTGAGGAAAATGAAACTCAGCTGAAAACTTTACCAGTAACTCACCAGTAACTGCAGATTAAGATGGGACTGTTCCTAGCTCTCTTGGCTCTGACCCATAGGAACTCACAAGTTAGTGTGAGCCTTAAACACCTAAGTATACACAGAGGGTTTCTCTTGCTTGGTTTGTGTAGCAGCAGAAAAGAATCAGGAAAATGAAATCAGTGCTTTAAGTCAACAGAACCACTGCAGCACGGGATAATACAAAGGGCAAGTCACAACCTGAGTTTCAGTGTCTTCACCTGTTAAAATAGGGACATCTACTTCTCAAGGATAGATGAGGATTAAATAAGACGTATGTGGCATCCTTGGAACTTGGAAACATTAAATAAACTCACAAGGAACTTAAAAAAAAATGATACAGCAGTAGACCTCCACAACATAAGCACTTTGTCAACTACTTCTGGCTACCTAAGGGAGAGAAGACATGGAGAATGGCCCTCTGACCTTATCTGGATGAGTGCTGGCAGCGAGTGCTCAGCCTGGAGGTAATACTGCCGGAAAGGCTGCAAGAGGTGAGCGAGAGGGAACTCATCTGGAAAAGAAAAGGCACAATACCATGTCATTACACTCCATATATAGAGTGTCTTTCTCAAGGCAAGGGGACCAAGCCTATGACTATACAATAGGATCAAATGTGTTTCATCTTTAATCCTGATTTCCAGGATACAGTTTAGAATTTCAAATCCTAAGGGTAACATTTGTCACCTACCACCTCTTAGCTTAAGTGACGGTCATCCATGAGGAAAAGAGCTGTCAGTCTAGTGTCTTCCTTTTCTCCACTGGTTACAGAGGAACTTACCTGGATCCCCAAATAACTTGGACTCAATTTCACGCTTTTGAAGGAAAAATTTCTCTTTTTCTTTCCTCTGTTTCTTTTCTAATTCCCTTTTTCTCTCTTCCTCTTGTTCTCCTTCCAACATAACTCTGAGGGCTCTCTCTTCAGCTTCATACAGTTCAGAGCGCTTTTTAATGAGTTTTCTTAGTCGCTGAAGGTGATGCTCAAAAGTCTCATCCGCTGAGGCCGGGGGACAGACCCCTGGGCAAAGAGAACCAAATGGCATTTTAGACACAAACTTTTTCTTGTCCACAAATTCATGCTCTAAAGAGCAGACTCAAAGTCCTACTTTCAGTATGAATTTGGCTAGAGTTTACAAGTTCTAACCAATCTTCAAAGGCTCAATTTGATCTTCTTGAGTCTTCAACTAATCTGACTCTCCCCTGATTTTTGCTAACTCCTCTTTCTGGATCACACCACTTAACCTTTGATTTAGATCCTTCAGTTGGAGAATTCCTCTACTAAAGGAAGGAATTGTCATTGACTTCTTTATTGTAAAATTTCTATAGCACAGACTCCCAGAACCAACTAATAAACAATTCTTCCTCTGATAAGAGTACGAACTTGGACACTTGGACAGTGAGGAGGAAATATACTTAACCAACCACAATAACCTCACAGTCTGCTGCTGAGAGCAGGGCGACCAAATGTTTCATTTGCCTGGTTTTAGGAATGAAAGCCCAGTGTCCTGGGACACCTGGGATGACTGGTCACCCTGATTTAACTGTGAAGTCAGCTAACAGTAGAGTCTACATGGCGAGAGTCACAACTGGGAAGACTTGATTACAGACTAATTGTTAGGTGATATCAAAGAATTACCACTAATTTTGTTAGGTGTGATAATGACATCATAGGTGATGATGGGTGTTTTATTTAGGTGTTCTGTTTTTGTACACGTCTGAAATTTTTCATAAAATTTCATGAGGAAAAAACTTCTAATTTAATGAATACTTAGGTGGATTGCAGTTGTGCACTCACTACCATAATGGCCCTGCAGGATAAAAGCTGCTGAAGCTGCGAGGTGATTCATTCTGGAGTAATATGGGTGTGGTCCATCCTGACTATAAAGGAAAATCTATTTATTATGAAAAGCATTTTAACAGTACCAGATACAAGGAAGAAAAAAAAATCCTAAGCCCACTAACATAATCAACCATTTTTATTTCCCCATGTTGAACCTCCAGGTGTTTTGTCCATATAGTTCTACATTATGTGTGTAATTTCCACATCTCCATTCCCTACACTCTTTTCCAGTCTTTATAATTACTTAATTACAAATCATTGCACCATAATTTACTTAACAAGCTCCCTATTCCTGGAAACTTAGGCTGCTCCAAATGTCCCATTATCATATAAGGCTACAATGAATACTCGGGCATGTTTACTTTTTCCTTCCCATGGATTATCTCCGTAAAAGAAATTCTCAAGAGTGGAAATGTTTACAGATATTTCCAAGACTAACCTAAATGTGGTACTAAACTGTTTCCTAAAATAACTATACATTTACTCAGTATCTAACATTTGACACAGAGAAAGTAATAAACATTTATGTCTTCAAGGAATGAAAGATTTTCAACAGTTTTGGCAGTTAATGCTGCCACAGTCAGGTACAATATTGCCAGCTTTGAGCACTCGATTTTCAATTTTGGCTGATAAATGTCATAAAATAATAGTTCCTTAAATACAGCAGTTCTGTCTTGTGAAGCTGTTTGATTTGGAGGTCTGATTCTTTTCTGCCTCAGAGACTGCAGCTCTCCTGTCTTCACCTCCAAAGCTAATATTTCTCCAGATCATTTTCTTACGATTTCTTTGGTTGAACAAGTTTTCATCCACTCATTCCCACCTATGGAAACTCTACTAACTCAAATCCATCTTCTATTAAGTTGCCAACGTCTTCCAAAACATAAAATTTGTATGCACTGAGAAATTTAAGCTGCCAATATTTTGCTTCATAATAATTTCATAGTTTTGTTTAATTTCTTTATCTCAACCAGAGGTGGGTAAACATTTTCTATAAAGGGCCAGATAGTAATATTTTAGGTTTGTGGGTCATACGGTCTCTGTAGTAAGTACTAAAATCTGCCGGTACAGCAAAAATACAGACATTCCATCAACCTAAAAGTGCCTCCAGACCCATGAGAAGGTGTGGCCTGCTTCCCTCTTGATCGGCTGGGCCTGCGCCCTGCTCCCCAACCTCCCTTTCCCTCAACTTTTCAGGGATCACTCCTGCCCACCATGACACACTCTCTCGGAAAGGGTACTCCTCACCCAATCCTCCTTGGACCCCCCCAGTACTGACATGGTCTAGGTTCCCTCCACCTCTAACCGTAACTTCTCTAGTTTCCGCAGCTCCTGGGTACTAATGCCTTCGTCTTTATCCCCCTTCAGCCACCCAGAACTTAAGGCCTCACCCAGTCTGTGGCCCTTGGCATGATCAGAAAAAAGTGTCCACCTCTGAAGTCATAGACCCAATTATTCTCTTCTCTGACTTTCTACCCTCTGGGTACTTACCTCCTTCTTTTCCAAGACTGTCAGTGTCACTAAAACCTCCATTCTGATATATCAGATTCCACCCTTCTTCCACTCATTCTCACTCATAAAGCAAAACCCCAGAGCCCTGTGCTCTGTGCTCGCCTGTCAGAGTCATTTGATTATGTGACCTAGTGCCAGCATACAGTTATATGCTCTGGACTCATAATAGCACCTTCCTGCAGCCTTACTCCCGTGCGTCTCTGGTTGGCTCTCACTCATGCCTCACAGCAATCATTTCAAACCTTCACTGCTCTCCTGAAGCCTTATTTCTCTACTCTTAGCAAACCATGTAGCATTTTCCCCAGAGAAAACAGGCCATCAGGCAGGAAATCCCTTAACTTTCGGCCCCTGACTTCACTTATCTGTGTATTACTACTCACCCTTGTATTCATTTCCATTCAAGTGAAAGATGGGTCCTTCTTCACTTAAGTTAACCCCTCCACCTGGGATCTGAATCTCCCAACCTCCTGCAGGACCTTGAGCCATCAACTATCCCTCCTGCTTCTCTTCACAGGCAAATTTTTAATAAGTTAAACTCACTGTTTGCTTTTCTTACCTCCTGTTCCCTCTTTGATTGAGTCTAGTCCAGCTTCTACTCAAACCGCCCCATTGGAATGCACCTAACATAGGTCACTAATGATCTATTTGGTACTAATTCCCATGATGTTTCTTAATCTTTATATTACTAAAAAAAAAAAAGTAACACTTATACAGTACTTACTATATGCCAGGACTATTTTGAACACTTTCTGCATGTTTACTAATTTAATCATCGCAAGACCCCCCATGGATAGGTACTATCTTTTTCCCCTTCTTACAGATGAGGAAAAACCAATGCTCAAGATCACACAATCTCTCTGAGCATCTACCACTTTCCAGAAGGTCCTTTCCTCCTAGCTCTCTGAGCTCCCTTGATCTCTTTTGTGGCCTTCACCTTATCCATCTTGATTTTGACACTCCCTAGGTTTTGCCTTTTTGGCCCTCATCTCACACTACAAAATCTCCTCAAGGTCATTCCTCCTCACGGGTCCATCCTGATGAACTCTTATCCAGAATGCACCACAGGTACCACCAACTCAGAAGGCCTCAAACTGAACTCGTCAGCCCCAAGCCTATTCTTCCTCCTGATCTGCTGGTCAGTCAGTCAGAATGGATCATCATTCAGTCAATAGGTTAAGTGAGAACCTGAGTCACTGTTTTCCTTCAGCTCCCACATGCTGAGTTCCCCATTAGATATACACACACTATTCATATCTCTTAAATCCACTTACTGTTCCCCAACTCACCATCTGACCCTTAGCTCACACTCCCTTATTATCCCTGCCCAGACTACAGCAGCCTTATCAGTCTCTCTCTTTCTTCCTCTCTCCTAGAAACCACAAACTTTGCTCTGCTCTGCCAGCACAGATCTTTGTCATCGTTCCACTCTCTGCTTGCAATCTTCCCCTTGGGAAGATTTTCCACTCAGCTTTAAGCATGGGTGAGATGTCTAGCCTAGCCCATAAGACATTCTGCAACACGGCCCTGCTTACACATCCAAGCTCATTCTCTCAGCACTTACTTGGAGATGCACACGCCTTAAAGAGAGAAGTCAGAAAGTTGCTCTGTTTTTTTTAAAGTATCTAACAAAACCAGTTACTAGATACTAAATCATTTCACATTCTAGTCAGTTAACTCCACTGAGCCTGCTTATTTTTAGAGCATAATTTCTCCTAAAATTTCTTCCTTCTTTTCGACAAAAGTGAGGAAGACTAATAGTGAAAAATTATGCTGGTAAATTCACTTGGTAAAAGTTTACTGAACATTCACTTCACGGAGGACATGAGGTAGGGGAATATTAAATAGCAGCCCTCAGGTTTTGCATTCTTGTAAGGAAGAGATATAGGAAGACACAGTAGATGCAAACATCCCTCTGACTCATGAATACCCCGTGGGATCATCTGATTGAGACTGAATCTGAGCCAGCCAGTCCAGAGGCTGGCATGCAGAAGCTAATCATTTAGCTAGTGAATGAGCCTGACCGAATGCACATGTCCCAACAAAATTTTATTAAGGGTCTGAATTGGAGTTTTCAATTATATTTTAAACCACACAAGGAAAATTATTTGTTATTGTGGTACTTGCTAATTTGTGTACTCTCAAATACCCCTGGTGAATGTGTATGGCCGACAGCCCACTAAACAAGGCAGCATGTTGTCACAAGCCAGGTGCAAATGAGAAGGAGCAGTTAGGTCACCTCGGCCCAGATCAGAGAAGGATGGAGGATGCTGCATCTGTATTTATTTTTGAAGGATAGTGAGAGCGTAAAACGGCCAAGATGGGACTCTCCAGACAAACAGACTGGCAAGAGCAAAGATCCAGACAGGAAAACAAAAGGCACAGCTGGGGAGATTCTAGAAAACAGTGCTCCCTCTAGAGGCAAGAGGAGACCACTGAGGTTTTCTGAGTCCAAAAGTGACATACCATGCAGTCTGCAGGGCACTCCCTGCCCCATGCAACCATCCTACCTCTTCAAATATCAATGTTTCAGGTTTGGAATGTATCTGAAGGACTATGCTAAGTTTTCCACACCTTCTGAAGCACCAAGTAAAGAAAGGACAACTTTCACCTTAACATACGGGCAAAGTTGACCAGCCATGCCAACCTCACTCAAAAAGCATAGCCAGGAATGCCTAGGGTGGGAATGATGAGTTAAGAGGAAGACAGTGCAGTGGGTTCCCACATCCTTTTTAATCTTGGCTACCCAGGGCTAAACATCTTCTGAGGCTTCCTGCTTCAAAAGTTCTGAGGTACTGCTGACAAGTTTAGTTACCCTATTGGGTGAAAATAATGAAGTATCAAGCATTTTTCCTTCAAAAATTTGAGAGGGTGGTGGATGCTAGGGTAAAGAAAGAGAAGGAACAGGGGAACAGAAGAAGAAATGCAAAGCCATAGTTACCTTTCCTTGCTGCAGCCTCTTTCCTGAGTTTCCTCAATTTTTCCAAGGCCCGAAGAATGTCCACCATTCTTTTGGTGTCTGCTTGTTTTTTCCTCACTTCAGATAAGACACCATCAGCAGCAGCTTTAAGTTCCTGCTCCTGAGGGACAAAGAGAGGCCATGAGATCTAGTACAAGGAACAACTTATCTCAGCAGAGAAACCCTGCTTGGAAGGGAGATTTCAGAGGACCAGACAGTCCCAGGGTTAAGAAAGACTCTACTGGCTCTGCATCCCAGTTTCCCGGACCATGCACAACTCCCCTCCACACTGGTTCAGCCAAGGGATTATTTTCTCTGCAGCCTCCATGTGGGCTCTTGTCTCGGTTTCTTCCTCAGAGCTTCTCCAAGTGTAGTCCGAGGAACATCTATATACAATTTGTCTTGTTAAGCTGGGGCTCCCTTGTTAAAAATTCAGACTTTGGGATCCAAAGATTCAGACTAGCAGGGAAGATAAGGAATGGGGCTGGAAAGGCCCAGAACTCTATAACGTTCTCAGTGACAACTTAAGCACAGTTTATGTTCCACTGCTGTAAGGTCCCAAGGATCTGTTTGATATGACAGCTGTTCAAACATCTGAAGACCCAACCTTACTCTTCTTAAGCTGGTTCACATGTAGACTAAACAACCCTGGTTCCTCAAGTCGCTACTCACAGGACTCTGTCTCCAAGTACCCTGACAGTGAGTGGCAGGAAGGACCCTTCTGACTAAAGCTCTCTTTCCCATCTGGCAAATAAATGCCTGTAATTTCACCATTACAGATACACCATGCTATTTCACTCTTTTGCTTGTATTACTTCTTCTTCTGGAACTGCACCTCTTGCTTTCACCTGGCTCTGACATTTCCTACAAGACTCAGTTCAAGGTCACCATATCATCTGGGAAGACTTCCTTGATATCTTCCCTTAATGAATTAGAAATTCCTTCTCTGGGCTTTATAGCACCTACAGTTGAAATCCTAACACACACCATGCAATACAGACATGTTCCCTCATAGTGTTCTAAGCCCCTCAAGGACAAGCACTATGTCCTATTCATCTCTATCTCCAGCACCCAGCACCGGATCTGCCATAATGGCCCCTCATTAAGTCTGTTGAACCAACTCAAACTCCCTTGGATTAAGGTATTGCCTCCAAGTATTTTCCTTTAAAGTACTGATATATTCCTGGAGGCATGAAGACAAAGCCTGCCGTCAGTACACTTCAGAGGGTAGTTGTATCAGATTCTAGGGCAGTAACAGACACAGGGAAGAGGGAGGAAACACCAGCTGGCTGTGGAGAGTGGAGGGGAGAGGGAGTCCCTAGAGGCACTCAAAAGTAATGAGAAAGCCTTAAATATTTGATCAATTTCCAGTTTCACCCTGGCCCTCAACTTAAGAACCTGAGATCAATAAGCTTTAGAATGTGACAATCTGGGCTCAAATCAGGTGTGAAACTGCCACAAACCTCTTGTGTGGATAGTTGGAAAGTTAATCTCTCTATGCCTCAATTTCCTAATCTGTAAAACTGGGATTAATACTGTCTACCTGGGGTAGACAAGAATTCGAGATCTGGCATATGTAAGGACCTAAGCATAGTGCCTAGTATACAGTAAGTGCTCAAAAACACCATTGTTGAACCTGGGGAGTATGAGGTTTAAAACTTGTAAACATAGGAATCCTGGAGAAATCACCACTCTTACTCCATCAGCTAATTAGGGTATATGTTCCTCGAGACAAGACTCCAAGTTCTCTTTATTCTGTATTCTTAAAATCACCTAGGGCAGTACAAGACCCAAGGACCCAGATGCTCGTTTGTCTTGAATGTTAGCAAGTGGACAGAACGTTGGAGCAGGAGACAGATCCGTCATCCCTTAAAAACGACTGTGTAATCCTACACTTTGAATTTAGAGAACTTTGCAGAACACCTAAAGCATTTGTGTTGTGTACTACACACCATTAACACGCAACCATTATGGAGATACGAGGTCGGAAAGGCAACTTGTGTTTTTATTTTACGAATTTGGAAAGAGAGGCTTAGACCTGGGAAATGACAGCGCACAGCCTCACGCCCTATCAGGTGCCAAACACCCTACCCTTCCCCCGTGTGCACCCGCTGTTCTTACCCGTTTCTTCTCCTCCACCTCCTGCACGCACTTGACCCTCCAGCGGTCAATCTCCTGCTCGCGCTCGGCTGCCCGCGCGGCCTCTGCCTCCCGCTCGGCCTCGCGTTCCCGGGCCCTCTCGCGAAGCCGCAGCCTGCGGCGCCGGACCCTCTCCAGCCTCCGCCGCGCCTCGCCCACATAGGCGGCCTGGGTCAGCAGCTGCAGTCTCTCGGCCAGCTCGGCGCGCAGCGG